TTTACCAACTAATTTATTTTGTCTGACTTAAAGACTCTCTATAATAGCAATTAATTTGAATTAATTAATTGGAGGTGCACCAACTGAACACTGTCTCCCTATAATTACTACAAAATTACTATATGGTCCATTCCAGGAATCTTGCTAAAAATTAACAGCTAAATATGAGTTATTAGGAAATTATAGGACCTTTAAAACAAAGTGTTAACACAAAACCTTAGATCAACTTGACTAGTTGCCTAAAAAGAAAAAAACCTCAGAAAATCTAATTACACTGAACAAAGGAACCAGAAAATCCAAGAAAAAGAAGCTGGAAACTGAAAGAATTATCAGGAAACAAAATTAACTGAACCACATTGAATTTTCTTAGGTTTAAGATTACAAATTTAGCATACTTATTATCATTAGTAGTCTAATCTATCCACATTCACTACACTACCTGAAAACTATCAGTCAATAAAGAATTCTCCTTCTCTGTATTTCAATTTCACTCCTTCCTCCTCGGGTTGTACTTGAATAAACTAGAGTAAAGGCCTTAATGGAGCACTATACTGTTCCTGCCTTTCACACAGTGAAGCTGCTGCTACTTATCACAATGCTCCCGGCCTTGTCTGTGTTATGTAATATATGAAACAAGATATACCATTAACCATGAATTAGTCTCTGCAATGGGGTGGAATAGTGATGGCAGCAGAGAGAGAAAAACATCTGTGTTGTCGTTCTATGTTCTTGTGTTGCATTATTGCCAGCAGCCTTCACTGATAACAAAGCGCTTCAGTCGGCTGCATACCATGCAGCACCAATATCCTCCTGGGTTTGAGTACATCCCAGAAGATTGCCATACAGTATTTTACTAAATTATCTCTTTGCATGCCACATTGGCTGTGAAACTGACCCCACATCCCTCAAAATAATTCTTACAAAAAAGTGCTCCTTCTCCACTGTCATTTAGTATGAGCTATTTTTAAAAGAGCTGTCCATGGTGCTGAAAGCAGATTTTGGACAAAAAACATGCAGTTGAGAAAGAAACAACTATGCTTTTGTATGCTTTGTAAACACTATCCATTCTTAATGTGCTGCATATCATCTGCTTATGACCCATTTTCAGATTAGGATAGTGGAACATATTGGTAAATACTGCTTGATATAACAATCCAGTTTAAACATAGATACATTACTGTGCAAAAGCTGCTACAAAGACAATTCACATATCTTATTTCATGTCTGCAAATCCCCATCCCCATCATAGTTCAAGATAAATACAGTGTGGAGCTTTTAATATAAAGAAAACTGACTGAAAACAGACACAGACACTGCTCCTGCACTGCTCTACCTCCATTTTAGTCGCCTTGATCCCTTTGACTTTCTAAATGATTAACTCCTTTTTTTCCTGCAATTTATACAGTGATGCATCTTTTCCCTTTCACAGTTTTGCACTGTTAATGTTGAATTTAACCAAATGTCAACATGTGACCAAGCATTCCCACCTCCATCTGAACGACTAACAGGTTTCACCCAGCTGGCACCGCACGGGCACTGTAGACAAGAAAAGCTCCCTGCTTTGTCTCTGCTAATGAGACTCCTGGGAGACTGAAATACAGACTGGTGACAGATGGGAAACGGGGGTTGTGCTCAGATTCAAACTGGTGAAATGTCTTCTTCACTGTCAGATCAAAAATGACTGAAACAATTAGTTGATTAATAGACAGGTCACTCCAAAAAAAATTAATTAGCAACAATTTTGACAAGTTACAAGGTAAAGTTAAGTTGTAAGTTCTCTTTATGCTACACACAAAACAAAAATGATATATAAGCGATTAATTGTTACTTTAAGTAAATTTTCAAACAAAGAAAACAAATGAAAATCTGCTGTTCCTTTAAGAAGGGAAGAGTAAAAGAGCCGTCCCCAAATGCAGTGCCAAACTTGTACCTTTGATATTATTACATTTGGTGGATCCCTGCAATTTTAGTTTAACTTTTGCTTTGGAGTGGAGCACTTTTACATTTCACAGAAACAAAGCACCACTGAGTTAAATTTGAAAGAGAAAGAGACAGAAAAGGCTGGGAAGGGAAGGAGACAACAGTAGATCCTCCGTAAGGACACAGTATGAAATCAATAAACATTGAAGGATAGATGAAAAAGCGGAATAGATACATTTGATTAGTGTCATCAGATGTTCCCTCATTGCCATTAGCAGGGCATATCTCAACAGCTTGTCTACCACTAAGAGGTTGGCCATCCTTGTTTCTGAGTCACACCTGCCAGGCATGCATCAACGTCTAAATCTACCTATCTTATCATCTAGAGGAAAGGTGTCAGGGCAAGTCAGGAGTAACGGTGTCTAGGCTACATGTACAGTAAACTCCTTTCGACATGGTTCATATCATTCCTATAGTTGCCCATTCATAAGTCTCCTATGCTTTGTATGTATTGATTGTCCGTGCTTACTGTAAGCAGCAACAGCAAACAGAGGGAGACCAAAGCCGCGACCAGAGCTGTGTGAGAGAAATAACTCCTACATTCGACTACTGCCAAAATGTAAAAATTATTAAATAACTTGCTGTTAAAAAGCAGCCGGGAAAATTACTGTTCTGATGTAAAGATCATGTTAAATGGCTTTTCTGAATAAGAGATAGGGAGGGGAGGGCAGAGATGGAGAAAAGAAGCGTTGTAAACACACAATACAGAAGTAGATGTGTGCGTTGTTTTAGGCAGATAACTCAAACACAATGGGCCACTGGGGGGGGGGGGGGGACTGGGGGAGCAAGGGGGATGGGAGGACCTGAGAGACGTCACTGCAGCTGGACTAGGAGAGCGCATACATTAACTGACAGGATGCTACTCTGCAATCTGTTCACTGTTCATGAGACAGCAAGGGCTGCAGATTTTTACTGACGCGTACAAACAAATCATTTTACGTCCTTTTATTTTATTTATTTTAAGGTTGGCTTCATCGTGAGCGAACATTTTCTTGCCCTGTCATGATGGTCCAAACCAGCTGGTGAGGCAGCGTAATTAACTGCTTCTATGACAACAGCTGAGTGCGCGCAGCAAAACGTGCCCTCGTAATGAGCACTGAGAGATGGTTTATGCTCATAAAAATGTCTCTATTAAAGGGATGTGTATAAAATAAAGTAGGCTACCATATCATGGCTACAAGTGGTAAAAACACTTAATTTTAGTTTAGTCACTTAGCTAAGTTTCAATGTGTAGGCTACTTCTGATATTGGAGATTATTCAGGCGCTAATGTGGACTTCAAGTTTAAAAATTAAATAAATCTGGGGGTATGGAGTTAGAAAGAGTGTGAGCTTACCAGACCTCTGTAGCCCGCTCCTCATCTCTGCTTGAGGGTAGCGGCTTGAGGCTACATTAGCCGCTACTAGCATAACACACCTGAATCTCCGACTGAGCTGTCTCTGGTTGGAGTTGCATTGTGGGTAATGTAAGGGCCAGGTTTTTTTTATAGAGTTTTTTATACAGTCTATGGTTTTGACAAGGAAGAACATTAATAGTGGAATAAAAAAAGATGATATCTGTGATTCTTCTGCCTTTCTTTTACATCGTGAGCCTGGCAGTGTTATTAACACTGATATGCCTTCCACAAGTAGATGATACATATGATCATAACATGTTTACTGACATGTAAACAGTCATGCACCACCTACAACCTGTTCAGATGGGGTTCCTTGTCAAAACCTGGCGCCTACATTACCCACAATGCAACTCCAACCAGAGACAGTTCAGTCGGAGATTCAGGTGTGTTATGCTAGTGATGAGGAGCGGGCTACAGAGGTCTGGTAAGCTCACTCTCTTTCTAATTCTGGCCATGTGGTGTGGCCTACTATTTGACTCCAAACAAATATGAGAAAAGACATTGGAGGTGTCGGGAAAATACATGTGTTCACGCCTAATTAAATCTACCAGAGATTGATGGATCAATTAAGTTGCTGCACAGATGGATCCCTCCTGTCCAATGGGATGGATTACATTTTATCATGGAATACCCAGGCCTTGTTGAGTGTGGGCATACAATATGACCTTGCTTGAGGAGGCAATACTGCTAATTCACACACTCTGTCCACATGAAAACATCTTCAGATCAAGTGAAATACATGCAAACAGGGGTGTTTGCTAGTGGCACCCATGTTGGTCCCTGCATGTAAGCTTTACTTACAGCATAAGCACTGTCAGACAGATGGATGAGCTGAGCTGGAAGGGCTCAAAGCTCAGGTGGACTCTCTCTCTCTCTCTCTCTCTCTCTCTCTCTCTCTCTCTCTCTCTCTCTCTCTATCTCTCTGCAAGGTCATACTGCAGCATAACAGATCAGATTTGTTCCCCTCGCTTTGTTTTGTATCATCGTCATCATCAGCTCTGACAGAAAGAAAACTGCGCATGTTTGCAGGACTGACCCCTCTCCACACATACATACACACAGCAAGCATCACTTTGCACCCCTGCCTGGTCAGGATTAAAGAGCCCGAGGACAACAAAGTGGTAGCACTGCCGCAGAAATAAGCAGCACATCCACCAAGCTGCCTGTAACTGTATCGGTTGTGCAGGAAGTCAGCATCCAAACTGACCCTGCCTCTGTGACAGAGGTGATATGATTTATAACTATACACATATACAACTTTGTGTCATTTTAACACCCAAAAAGTATAAAGTTTGAAAGTTCTTTATAGTGCTCATAAGCAGAGATTGGTTTATCATATTAAATGCCAAGTTATATTGAACAGAAATGCCTGCTTCCATGAACGCATCATGCGGCAGTTCACAGATAAACTTCACTAGGGATTTATATAGGCCTAACAAAATAATCTCCTCGCCTTGGTGTCGTGTCCATGGGAGAAGACAGTGAAGCCTGTGTGGTGGATTTAACCTGCCTGATATGAGAAGGGGGATGGGGACTAGAAAGTGTAAAATGAAAGCAGACTGCGCCTGCTTGTGTGATGCACCGGGCCGCACCAACATGCACTGCAGCCTACAAAAGCTACTTACTTCCCGACGAAGTTCTCCAGCACCGAGCTCTTCCCCGCACTCTGGCCGCCCACCACGGCGATCTGGGGCAGGTCCAGGTTTGCGTTCTGCCCGATGGCAGAGAAGGCATCCTGCATGCGGTTCACCAGAGGAATCAAATCCTCCATTCCCCGGTTCCCCATCTTTGCGTTGCAATACGCAGTCTATCTTCCTTGTCAGAGCACGGAGGGATTTCCTTTCTTATTTTCCTCTTCGTCCCTCCTCGCCACTCTCGGGTTTAGAGGGCGTTTTGGGCTGCGCACACACCGGTTCACTTTTCGGTTACCTGACTGCTATATAGTTGACTGCGCCTCTTCCGTGTGTCAGATCACCTCAGCTAGGACTATCTCCACCGCCGAACATGTACACTCCTCTACACCGAGCACCGCGGGGGTGGGGGGTGGGATGAGGATGATCTGTTGTATTTTCTCATGAGAGATCCCTGCAGTTCTGCACACGCACCGCTCGATGGTGACACTGGTATACTTTCACTATGTTGCGCTGTGAAATTGTGCTGTTGTCTGTAGAATGTTCGAAGTCTAATCTTGATTGAGTGCATTTAGAAAGGTGCAGGTGGGAAATTTGGCATCTAGTTTTGAATTATTTCCCAAACTCACTATATTGTGTGATGCCCAGATCTGTCCATGGTGCTGAATGTGTTAGCACCGTGGACAGAGGCCCCGAGGCTCTCTACAACTTTTTAAAAAACATTTTTGACGTATACTGAAGGCATCAGTATGAATAATATAAACGATATACGTTACAAAAATATAGTATAGTTGTTATAGTTGTTATTAAAACATATGGTGTCTTATTATGTGCAACAGAGCCTACATGCGCTATATATATATATATATATATATATATATATATATATATATATATATATATATATATATATATATATATATATATGTGTGTGTGTGTGTGTGTGTGAAATATAGAGGCTATATAACATAGCCTATTGTATATAATGTACAGTAGCATTGCAAAGTTCTTGTTTCAGTGTAATTGAATTTCTACTTCAGTATTTATCCACTGGAGGTTATGATGTTAGCTAGTGTTACAAATGTAAAATGTAGAAAATGCAAACTTTCATTAAATCTACAAGGGCAGTGGGATTCAGTCTGAGGATGGAATTAAAATTAAAGTTTTAATTAAAATACTACATTATCTAAAGATCCATATATTTAGCAGATATCAGGCACTGTGAGTTCTCTAGACAACCAGCAGGGGGCGACAGGGCACACTCATGGCACTACACTGCGCAGGCTGGTTTGGGTTTGAGCTCTATGCAAGTTGCAGCGGGGCAGAGAGCAAGTATTTCACCCTGTGCTATTATAATTGGATAATTAACAAACATCGCGTCTTTGCTCTTTGAGAAGTAAGTCGTTACAACTGTAGGAAGCCTACGGTTAAATGTAGGAAGTTCCCGAAGAGGCGCAGCAGGTTTAACGTTATCTGTGAGTTAGCTAGCTAGTTTAGTGCTATGCTAAGCTAACTTGTTGTGTTCAGTTACTGAGCGGTGGCTAACAGCTTCGTTTATTTCATGGCAGGTGTAGCTTGTTCATTTATTGACTCGTTTATTGTACTTTGTACTTACTTTGATGGATAATATGCTGATCTCTTCCAAAAACAGATTGGTTAGCATGCATTTCTCTGAAGTTCGCCAACTGGGTAAAGAAATTAGAATAAACGAATTAAACAAAAAAGTAAAATATTATTAGCTTACTTGCTAACACTAGCTAGCTGTCATCATGAAATATGAGAGCGACCTGTTGTCTCAGGACAACGCACTGTTGCGGGATGTTATTGAATGTGTCTTTAAAAAGAAGAGTTGTTCTGACAGCGGGGCACATAATCACACAAGCTTTGTTTCCTCCTCCAATCCAGAGATTTTGTTTTAAGGGGTGTCAAAACATTGGCACCTCACAGCTGTCAACTCATAGTGTAACGGAGGACATTGAAGCCCGTAATGTTCAATCCAAACCACCACCACCACCAGCAACAACAGCAGCAGCAACAGTTTCAGCAGCACCTGCGGCAGCTACAGCAACTTTTCCAGCAGCAGCCTCCGCCGCCTCCTCCGCCCCAGCCGTCTCCGGGGCACCATGTCGCCCATCACCACCACCAGACACAGCGGTAAGCACGTTAACTCCAGACCGGGGATTAGGCAGGGCCCTCCGAGTGAGACAAGTGTGGGTGCCGGTAGCTGAGCTGGAAATAACATATGCCAGACTGTGCCATTCAAAATGTGTATGTGTGCAGGTTATTAATTGGAAATTTAAATGGAATATTTCTACGGCTTGGCTGTATGTTAGTCCATCGGCTCTGTTTTGTTATGATTTTGTCTTTGAAGTAGACATACAGCCTGCAGTAGTATTTCTATGTATTAATCTAGCACCACTGATATAACTTATAGAAAGTTTGATTGTTATTCTGACCAAAGAGAACAATCAAATCAACATTGTCTTTCTGGATCAGGTGGTTATTTGGTTGTCAAACAAAGTTAAATATTTTTCAGAAGTTGGACTGTTGCCTTGGATTGACATCTGGCCAAAGGCAGTACTGATAAATGCATATTATATAGAACACTGTTGCAGACATACTGGCTCCAGAAACAAATAGTATGGTCTCTCACATCACCTCTAGCGAAACTTGAAGTACCCCATGGGCTTGTGTTATGTCAGCGTTTGTTGCTCCATCTGCAATCCTCTGATAACTCAGGGTGCAGGTCTCTTGTTTATTCTGAGAATGAGCAAAAGCAGCAGCCAGTACGGGTTTATCCCGACACCACCCCTGGCTTAACCTACCTTTTTTCTGATGTATTCCTTTGATGTCCTTCCATGCTACCCCCCTGATATGGGTTAGGGTAAGAGATAATAGCACATACCGCATCAATGGGGTAAATACCCCAAGAGTTAACAAAAAAGTGCAATCAATACAAGAAAATTGTAAGGGGATAGAAGAAGAAGAGCACAGGAAGTGCGTGTTAGGGATTAGAGGTGTTATAAGAGGAAGTGTTCTTGGAAGAGGTGAGTTTTCAAGAGCTTCTTGAAGTTAGAGAGGGACGCCCCTGCTCTGATGGAGTGTGGTAGCTCGTTCCACCATCGTGGATGAGAACAGCTGAGACTGAGATTGCTTTGTGTGAAGGGATGGCAGAGCCAGGTGGCGTTCGTTGGAGGAGCGTAGGGGCGGAGAAGGAACGTAAACTTGTATTATGGAGTTTAGGTAGATGGGTGCAGACCCAGTAGTCACTCATTAGTGACTTGAATCTGATTCTGGAAGCCATGTGTAGCCAGTTGAGGTCACACAGTAATGGAGTGACATGAGTCCCTCTGGGCTGATCAAAAACCAGACGTGGTGCTGCGTTCTGAACCATTTGTAGGGGTTTCACCACACAAGCTGGAAGAAGGCATTGCAGTAGTCAAGACGAGAGATAACCATGGCCTGTACCAGAAGCCGGGTGGCATACTGAGTGAGGTAGGGCCTGTTTTTTCTGATGTTGTGTAGAGAAAAGCGGTTTAGTTGAAGGCATCGTCGTCACCAGGTCATTTTTGAATGATGATGATGATGTTTTGAATGTAGCCCCGAATGTAACTCAACAACAGCAACAAAAATATTTTCCATGTTAATATGCAATAACCTTCATGATGCAGCCTGTCTCGTAGGTCTTCAAAGAGCTACGAGAGCTTTGTTTACCGTTATTCAGTCTGTCTGCGTTTAGAATGAGCACGAGAGGAGAGAGAGAGACAGAGAGAGCGTATTGCTCACAGCTACAGGGCTTATCTGCGACCATCCGCAAAATTGTAATCAATACATTTAAATATAAATGTTGTCGGTCAGTGTCTAGTCAGTGTATAACTACACTAACAGTTAACAGTTGCCGCAAAGTAGTGAGAGAATATCATGACACACCTGACCGCCATTTCCTCAATAAATTGGTGCAATGAAATTCACCTGAATGCAGTACATTAAGCGTTTAAAGCCCATAATTTTCAGGGGGAGGACCCCCAGACCCCACCAATTTAATATTATCAGTGTTAATTATTATCAGTTGTAATTATAAAATTCATAATAAATGTAGGCTACATATGTATAATTTACTGTTGCTTTATAGATGGCGGTGTGAGACAAACAGTGCTGGAACAATGGGCTGTTCCTGTAGGCATACCGTGAACTGAATGAAATAGTGGTCTGACATGTGTAGCGGTGTGACTGTTAGGCACTCGGTGGCACAGTTTCGGACAAGAACGAGGTGAAGCACCTTGCCAGCTTTGTGTGTCGGAACCCGTGTTAGATGAAAGTACTGAATCAGAGACAGGAAGTCTGCTGAGTTTGATTTGTCTGTGAAGTAAATGTTCATGTCCGAGAACAAGTAACGGACAGTCATTCTCTGGGATTGAAGACAGTTGTGTCTAGCTCATCCACAAAGTTACCCACTTGTCCTGGCGGCAATGACAATCACAGAGACCTTTACTGGAGCGGACACCAAGACAGCATGATACCAAGACGGCTGCAGATTTCTGTGAGGTTATGTCTTTTGAAATAATGTTGCATGTTTATTTTTTCTTGTTTCTTTGTTGCCCAGAGCCATTCCTGTTCCTCCCCAGACAGCCCCTCCTCCCAGGATGGTCAACCTGTGCCAGGCGACCCAGACTACCATCATTGCCCCCCAATCCAATGCTGCAGGGGGCCCTACTGATGCAGCAGATGCAGGGTACAGTTTTTTTTTTAGTATAGTGTAAAGAGAGCAGCATCTGAGGAGAAAAACACTATATTGTGTGATGCCCAGATCTGTCCATGGTGCTGAATGTGTTAGCACCGTGGACAAAAGGAGAAAAGCCTCAATCATAAAGAGCACAATTTATAGACAGTGTATTAAAATGCATTAAATAACTGATTTACAAGGGTTATAATTTTTAGTTCACTTTCCCCCCCCTTACCTACGTGTCTCTTTCCAGGTAACATGCGGGGCTTTGGGATGGGTGGACAGCAGTTCCGTCAGTTCTTCGCGGCTGGGACCAGATCGTCTCTGCTTGGGCCGGTTCCCATGGGCATGGCCATGAAATCCCACATCATGGGTTTCCCAGCTGCTCGACCGTACCACCCGCATGCTCGCTACTACAACAACAACACCACCACCAACACAGCCTCTTCCTCATCCTTCTCCTCCGTCGCTACCACAGTAATTACAAAAGCAACATTATAAGCTGGGTTTCGACCAAAGGAACTATACCCCGGAACTAGGAACCTTTGGAGGAACTCACTGCGTTTTCACCGAAGGGACCAGGGTCTACATTCAGTTCTAGGGTCTTTATTTTACACCCAGCTCGGGGGTTAGTACTTTCCGAAAGTACCGGTGCTTTGTGGGGGTGGGGCTTGCCTTGCAATGAATTTCTTAATGGGGGCGAATAGAGGCTACTGGCTTTAAATCGAGCATGTCAGCTGTTTTTCTACAACTGCTCCTTTCTTTTCCACCGTTGTTTGCAAACCAATAAATCACAATCAACAATCAGATAACACATACAAGTTTTACTGATGTCCACCTGAGATTGTACATTGGCATTAAATGTATTGCTTGGAAATAGCAGCCAGCGTGCAGCGGTGTGTTTACAGCGAAGTCAGGAAGTTTTTACACAGTGCTGAAGTCGGCGTCCTCTTCTCCAAAACAAGCGGAAGAGATGATTACAGCAGGTAATAAAGCTTGTTAAACATCCCGTTCCTCCGACACTCAGGCGGACACAGACGTGAGTCTGGCCAGCTGATCTACAGCTCTTGTCGACTGGAAATGTTTTAATAACCTTACAAACTGTCACAATTTTATTTTTGTGTTGTTTCTGTGCTGGAGTTATTTTAAGAACTTGATGGCTTTATCCAGTTTGTTATTAAATGTGTAACGATCTTTATCGTGTGTCTCTTCATTATACTCAAGCGTAGCCTCTAGTTTTTCATTATCTGATGATCATTTAGACATTTTGCTCATGGATAGCGGTTACTAAATAATGATGCCTGTGAATCGCTTTGTGCGCAGTATAGGCCCATATCAGCTGGTTAATTTGCCTAATCTTCGCAGGACTTTAGACCACAGTGGAAACGCACACAGTGGGCTGAAGGAACCTTTTAGTTCCTTAAAAAGAGATCCGGGGACTTCGTACTTTTGGTCGAAACGCGCCTATAATGACTATAATTACTGCATAGGCTTTCTAAGCTATGTAACTTTAGTCATATGCTAATGCTAACTTAAATAAACAAACCAGGCTTATTTATACAGTATTTGTGTAATGCTGTTGTCTCTGTCTTTGTGTAGGACACTGCAGCTCGCCAGCCAGACAGGAAGAGGGACAGCGAGCAGATGACAGCAGGGAGCACAGATGACCAACCAGCAGATATCATTACCATTGAAGCCAGTGACAAGACTGAAAGAGGTAGATCTGTTCAATCCATCCAGCACTGAAACATGCTAATTATTTAACGTGGGAGCTTGAAGGTATATATATAGTGTGTGTTAAATGTCATAGGTCAGTGTTTTGCCTTTTTTACCCACAGACGTTGCAGTTGGAGGAGAGGATGGGCCCATGCAGCCCTCTGAGGAGCAACTTGAGGAACCTGTAGTTAAGAAGCAGAAGACAGAGGGGTAGGGGGGAAAAATTTATTACTGTGATTGTAGTAAACGTTGACCTGTCTGTATCTTTTCCACTGGAGTAACAAAACATATCCGCATTTTACAGTGGATTATTTATTTGTTTTTACTAATGAGGGAAGACAAAACTTAGGATAATACAAGTGTTGTGGCTTAGTTATTTGAAACTGGTGAACTACTAAGCCTCAATATTTGTGCTTGTTTCCTTCTTTGACTCTTGTTATTTTTCTCTTAGGTCAGAGGAGCCAAAAGAACAGTGTGTTGTTGAGACTGTCACTATTGCAGATACTGATGGGGTGGTTCTTTCTTCAGAGTGCAACAGCAACAGCCAGCCTGAAGGTAAAGCCCACTGAAACCAAACATTGTACATGGTTTCAATTACTTCATACATTAAGCACTAATTTCATCTAAATGGAGTGCAGCTGAGATGAGAACATGTTGTACTACTACTACTACTTTCTTTTCGCCTTCTCTTTTCCCAGACTGCGTCATTCTGGAGGAAGGAGGCTCTGGAGGGGGATCAGATGTTGTTGAGGCGCTGGAGGAAAGCGGAGCTGTTGAGGTGAGAGGAGCCTTTATTTGAGATGGTCAGGTCTCAGACAAAATAATGTGAACACTAAATGATAGATTTACTAAATCACTATTACAAAGGGTCTCGTTAGAATATTTATCAACCTGCTGTGTGCAGTATAAATGACACCAGTGGATCTTTCGCAGAAGTCTTTTACTGACCGACACACCCCCTTATTGGGTAGCCGTTATATTGATTGGATGCTGCAGCTGTTCCGACTGATCTGATACATCAGGACAGATAACATTAAATTCAGGTGTATCACTGCAAAGTCTTAGGCTATTTGTTTTATGATTCACTGTCTTGTTCAAATCTGAGTTCACTGAAGGTCTGAACAACAAAAGCCCCACACATAACTTTCTTCATTTATTAGAAAGATTTTTCTGTCTTTTATTTCTCCCATCAACTTTTATAATGGAGACAATTAAAGTCAGAGAGAGTCTGTCTGCAAGAAATGTGTTTTACATAATTTATCGTCATTTCTATTCAGTCACATGTGAGGCTGGTCATTCCTGTGTTTAGTCCAAATAGACGATAAAACACTGAAGAGTCAGACAAGTCACTAAATTGCACCAAAGCATCTGATGACAGCAGCAGGCGGCACCGCGAGTAAGATCAGCTGATGAAAGTATGAATGAAAGTGCTGCTGCGCAAAAAAAAAATTATTGGTTTGATACGATGGAACGCAGTGATCGATCGGTAACGAGTGACGTGACTTGCAAGTATTAAAGGATATCAGCAGAGGAAAAAACGGAAATCCTAAAACTGAGCGTCACTATGTCATTACATCATTTCAATTTCCCTGAAACCTTTAGGCTAATAAATCCCAATACACCATGATCATATTCTGGGTTATTCAATAATTAATTCACAATCAGAATCAATAAATATAAATGCAGATAATATAAGCATTGTGCAAGTAGAAGTGATCCTGTGCCTCTGAGCAGGACATTCAGTAACTTATAATTATTCATGTGCAGGTGTTTGTTAAACAGGTAACAGAGAATCATGCTGCTCTGCACTGATGACTGAGACTTTATTAGTACCACACAGTGCACATGTGTGCAGACACAAACTCCATCAAAAGTCTCTACTGATCCAGTGTGATCAGCTGCTGCCGTCATTAGAAACAGACGTCGCTTTACATGACGCTTCAGAGGAAAGGACGTCTCATGTCTCTAAAAACATATTTCCTCGTTCCTTCTCTCCTGGCTTGGTTTCCTTGTGTCTCTCCACGCATCCCCGGTGGGCGGGCCTAAGACGCAAGGAAAAGACGCAAGTGAGGGAAACGTGGATGCAGTTAAGAGACTTGAGAAACACCCTGGGTTTAGATCTGGTTTGCAACTTCTCTGTAGACGCACAGCTGTTCGTCAGCTCCGTCCCCATCTGGCAGGCCGGGTGAAGACGACCAGCAGGATCGTTTAGCCCCGGAGGAGATGCAGATACAGGATAAAGATACCCCTTTGGCTTCACCAGAGAACCACGATGAAGGAGAGGAGGGTGTAGGGGACACCAACAAGTTCTATTGCTACCTCTGCAGCATAACCTGCCACAACCAGCAAGTAAGTTGAACATACACACACATCAACACAGTACGTAGGCCATAGTGGAATGTACTTTTATTTGGTAAACAGTTGGGTAAAAGGCTGAAAAAGTCACTGTATATCTTTAATTACTTTGTTTAATTATTCTCTTCTTTATTTAATTTAAATATTTCTCTTCTCTGTGTTTTTTTTTTTTTTTTGACAGAACTTCAGGGGTCATATGAATAGTGTTTCCCACCAGCAGAGGATGATGGAGATCCAACACATGAGCAACGCCTGCCTGGTCACCCTGCTGCCACGAATACAGGAGTCTCTGCAGGGAGCAAACAGAGATGGGTCAGTTTAAAAATATGCATTTGGCTTGTGTGTTTGTTTGTTTTTTTTTAAATGTATTCTTATTTTTGAAACCTGTATCAAGTTCAAATGGTGAGAGATTATTTCGCACCTTTTTATTTTAACCCTAAAACTGGTTAAATAGTTTTTTTTCCCCCCAGCCAGTCATTTTGAGTTTATCATAGGAGACTGTTTTAAAAAGAGAAAATGATCCTTGTGGGTCTTCAATGTTCACCTGTGTTCTCTTCAGAGATAAGAAAGCAGACACGAAGCATTGGTGTGCCACCTGTCACACCCACTACACCAGCAGCATCATGGACCACCGTCGCACCGAGGAGCACAAAGTAATCAGCTGCTCACTTCATAGATAAGCACACTTGCATGGTGTAAATGATGCGCTCTTGATGTTTTACAGAATATTTTGAAAAAGGTTGACACAGCTTTTCAATGTCCCTTAATGTCTCCCCAGCTTGCCAGTAGAACAGCCATTTCCTCCTGCACAGTCTGCAAGAAACACTTCAGGACCTCTCAGATTTTTGTGGAGCACTTGCAGTCCCAGGAGCACAGACAGATGGTGGAGAAGGTACCTGTGTTTAAAACTCATTAAAATAAATCATTAATAATAACAAGCAAGTGTTTTTCTCCATAAATATAGATGAAATTAAACATTCATGTTGTTGCCCCTCATCACTTACTGTGCTTTACTAGCTCCAGGAAAAGGAGGGCTGTGAGGCCTTGGGCAAGCTGACTTCCATGGACGCTGATGGCTTTTTGTTGGAAGAGGTGGAGGGCATTGAGGTGGAGGAGGGAGAGGAAAGACAGACGAGTGAAGGAGACCAAGATTGTTCAGAGAAACAGGTGATTTGCAGATAATTTGTTCTTGTTTGCAATTCACAATATTTTGCTTTTAAAAGGCCAGTAAGCTTTACGTCCCATGGTTCTACCAAAGTTTAACATCACTCTGAGATAAGCATGAAATAACACACTTCATGGTGTGGTGCATTTGTTATACGATATTCGCTTACTGTGTATCTGGTGACCTGGTACAGGATGGCTGGTCCTCCCTTAAAGAAGTGACTCTAAAGGACATGGCCAGTGATGAGCAATATGATCCTGACACAGTCTACGGTGAGTCACGGCTAACTCCTGATTCTTTGCTGATTGCTGCATCATTCATTTTGTTGCTTTCCTGCATGTTCTCATTGTTCCTGATAACTTTAAATATCACATTTGAGCGAAGTTTATTCATGGATATCTTTTACTGCAGGGTCCAGTTTTTTTGTTCCAGTAGCAGGTTTTATCTGCAGACTCTGCAACAAGTTCTACCACTTTGAATCTTCGGCCCTACACACCCACTGCAAATCACTGAAGCACTTTGAGAACCTCAAGGTTGGTTTCTGATGACTTCACTCACCCTGTTTGCACTCTTAAACAGGGGGAAACCCAAATGAAATTATCATCTTCTTGTTTCACCTAATAAATACTGCTTAAAGTTAACTATATTATTATTATGTGGGGTCATTTGTGTTCAGCATTGATGTCCGAGTTTTGTTTCATTGATTGAATAACCCTAGCCCCAATTGAAGCATACATAAGCTCTCAATGGAATTCACCATAGGTAATTGCAGTATTTATGGTTTCTCTTCACAGAATTACAGAGAGTTGATGAGTCAAAAGGGGGGAGCTGTTGAGTCTTCTGGGGAATCTCTCATAGCCGCAGCCAGCTTCAGGCCTGGAACAGAAACCACCACAGACTGTGATGACACTGGTTTAGTGACAGACCTGAACTCCATGCAGCCTACCATTACACTCACCAGAGTGAACACGCAGACAGAAAACCAGCAACAGGAGGAACAGGCAGAACTTGACCCGACCTCACAGGACTTCATCTCCACCTCAGCAACCAGCACTGGCAGCGCAGACCAAGACCTCAGCCTCCACAGTAAGGAGAATGAGCCCACATCCCAGGCCTCTGCAGGTCAGGAGAGTCCAGCTGAGCTGCCGGCTGGCAGCAGAGAGGAGCCAGACTCAGAGCAAGCGGCTGCTGATGAGGATGCTAATGAAGAAGAGGAGAAGGAGAAGGAAGCTCCCGGTGTACCAGGGAAAAAAAACGGTACGGGGAAGGCAAAATCCAAACGCAGGTCAGGGAGGGCCACAAACAGACACTGATTCAAAGATAAGATGTGGAGGAGAGGATACCAGGTACAACTGCAACCTTAGGACAGGATGTGTCTGTATGTGAAGAGGTGCTTTCATGAAACAGAGATATCTATAAGTGAACAGCTCTGCCGCTCTCTATTTTGGAAAGGCTTCTTATGTGAAGTGTTCTCCCAGGGTGGGAAATTAACACCTGACAGCTATCAAATACAGGTTGAATCAGTGACTGGTGGGTAAGTATGTTAATATTGGCTAACAGTCAGAGGCTAGTCTCCACCATTAGATTACAGCAATCAAAATGAATGAAAAGCCATCACATGGATACATGTGCTGTGTCCCGATCCTATAGTACATATTCTAATCTAAGCAGGTTCTGAGTGTGTAGTGTGTTTAGGATGGAAGTTTACTCAAAACAGTCCTTCTACTACTGCCACAGTGCATTGCAAAAAGGAAACTGAGGAACTGCAACTGCAAAACATTAAAACGTGGATTAAAAACAAAATTGTGGGTAAAATGGCTTTAATGCCCCCAGGGAACAGAAAAATAAATATTAAATCCTTAAACATTTAAATATTTTAATTGTGAATTTTTGATTGACATGCAGTGGGGCACGTATTGTATGATTTCTTGTTAGTATAAAACAGTTTGGTATGTAGATTCTTTTAGCCACGCTAACAGTGTGAATATAGTAAGACTTTAATCCAGAATAGTGTTGTAGTCAAGTCCAAGACTTTTAGGGGCTGAGACCAAGACTGAGGGAGCATCTAGTGCCATCAGGTCAAAATTTTAATTTTGTTTAATCTTTCGGTTCATATGAATTGTTACAAATACCTGCAAAACATTCCACCAGCTTCAGCTGTACTTTGTGTTTAGCAAATGCTAACATGCTAAACTAAGATGGAGAACATGGTAAACATTATACCTGCTAAACATCCACATGTTAGCGTTGTCATTGTTGCATGTTGACATTAGGATGAAGCATGGCTGTACAACCTCAGAGCCACTAGCATGGCAGTAGACTCGTTTGTATACTAACTGCAAAATCAAGAGTACCACAACAATTATACTATACAAGCAGAGTGGAATTAAAACATGTTCATTTAAAACCATAGAAGCTAAACGCAAACGTAATATATACAGTATTTTAAAAGTAGCATGAGTGAAGTATAGAATGACATGAATTTTCCTAGCCACAGGAGAAAAAAAAAGCAAAGGTATTTTATTAGGTTACCCCATCCACAATTAAAAATTTTATCATTTTTTTCCCCACCTTCTATTCCGAAGTATTACAATCACTATAATTGCTTCTGACCCTTAAATGAACACTGTGCAGTGGTTTTAAATGTAGCTGGGTTAAAGGAAAGGAGGTGGCTGGCTCACCAAAAAGTTAATTTCCCACCCTGCTGTCCTCAAAGATCAGGAAGCTGATTGTCAGCTTTTGCTAATTCTGAATGATTGTTGATATAAGATAACCTACAACTGGAGATACCTTTAAACATTGCTAACCATATACAGTAGCACACGCGTTTAGCAACCTGAAATGTAGAATGTAACGAAATTATTTGTTTGGGCTGGTGACCACTTTTGTTTGAACAAAAGTTGAAAGTCATGAATCTGATCATTGCTTTTCTGATTTTTTTTAATCATCCATTTCTTTTTGGGTTCAAGCTGGTGTCATCTTTGTGGCAAAAAGAGTTGTCAGCAGTTGTTGTCTTGATTTGGGGAAAAAAAAATAAAAAATCCTGTACACATTCATATCGGAAGATGCTAGATATATTTATGGACACCTGTCAAAAGAAATGTCTAAAAACCCTTTTACAGCTCTAAAATGAGAATCCTCAGCCAACAGCTTCATCAACAACAACAGAAAGGTGTTTGTGCTAACCAGACTCTGAATTCAAATTACAAGCTGTACCCAACTCTCCCAGGACTGCAGTTTGCTTGCCAGTTAGGGTAAATATTTGCTGCTTGAAGTTTAAAAAAACAAACTGTAAAGTTGTTTTGTTTTTTCTTGCTGGGTGTTGTACTTTGCGCCTTCAGAGAACCCACAAATCAGTATTTTAGCCCCGAATTCATAAAGATAAAAAAAATAAAACATTTGTGTAGAATGGACACAACAGGGTGATTTTACACAAAAATCACATTTGGTGTCACAATGCAGTGTACCTGCATTTGTTTTACTTTTATTTATTCTTTTTGCTATACACTGGACAGATGAATCACTCACTTTAATGGAAGGAGGTGTTTAATGTCAAATTATCCTTGCAAACTTTAAACTCTGATTTTAAGCACCAGTAACATACAGCGGATGATACCCATTACAGATTATACAAATGTATAACTTCCAGCATTTCAGCAGTAACCAGAAACCACAAGGCTTAAATAAGGATGCCTCACTTCCCTCTTGAACAACTAGTGTGCTCTCCTGGAAACATTTCATCCTCCATGTTAGAGAAGGATATTTTAAACCACAAACGTGGTTGGCTGCCACATGTAGCAACTCTAGTAGTCATGGTGGTAACGGTCACATGATTAGCATTGCATCGTGTTCTGTCTGAAGGAACAAGACATGATGGAAACTATACTTTGAGAACAGAAGGGAGCAGGAGAGAGAAAAGGACGTGTAAAATATAATTTCAAACAAAGCTGTATGTTTCTTATTGTATTTTTATTCAGCTACTGACAAATTGAGATGAACAAACAGGTGATGTTTTCTAACTGCTGGACATTTAATGTATTTTTGGATGTTTGTTTGCCGTTTGGGGTCATTTTAATTTATATTAAAATGTCTGACAATTCCCATACTTTGTGGACTTCATTTTGACTTAACATATACAAACACTTTTCAAACTGCATCATTTATCCCAAAGAGGTTCATGAAAATTAACAGTTCTGTCATGCTGCAGGTCAAACATAATACAATGGTATACATCTGGAATGTTGCATATTTACTTTTTGGGATAACACAAACTTGTACAGCTATTACAAAGCTTTTTGGCCATGAGGACAAATTCTGGAGATCATGCAGAGGCAGGAGGTGTTTCAACATAAGAAGGGTCACCATGCATATCGGCAAGTTAAATTTTTATAGCAATCTGGGAAAATCCAATCATGATCTTGCAGTATGAGCAGGTTACTGTCATTGTTAAATTAACAATGCAGTCCTTTTTGGTCTGCTTTTAAAAATGTTTCTGGTGTGATCCTGGCTTTAGAATTTGCTTTTTAATCTTTGATTTTACTGTAGTAATGTCAGCTGACTGAATAAGACGTTGCTTGATGTAAATAAACTCCAATCAGCTCAGGAACCAAACATTAGCACACTACAGTTCAAAGAAAAACTAGGTTGAGGAGATGCAAATATCACTTGTACACGTCTGCTGATGGGGGTGTAAATTCAGAAAAGTCAGACAGGCATGGACTATGCAGATCAAGGGTCACTAGTCCAACAGACTGAGGTTGGGAGTTGAGTCAGCTGTCATAAATATTTCTTTCCCTGCATTTTGCTGAACTTAATCCCACTCATCTACTCACTCTTGTCACTCATTTGCCAGCTCCATTGGCCTTGTTCAGGTCTTCCTTGCTGGGTGAGGAGGAGTCCCCGTCTGCAGGACAATGGTCCTCGGGGGTCGGTGGGCCTGAGAGTTGGGCCCTGAACTCCAGCCGGGCTTGCCGGTTTGACTCCATAAGTTCGTGCAATTTGCCATTAAGTGAATCATTCCGTTCTTCCAGGTCATCAAGATAGGAGTTGATCTGGTCTAGCATAGAGTTGACGGCCTCATACTCTGTGGACATGCAGCAGAGACATTAGGCTTTTCTGTCGGGCAAAGTAAAGACCTATAGCAGAGGAAAGAGCGTTTGGTCTTTATACATAACAGATGTAAATTAGGATGGAAAAAGGGAATCACTTCCTATCTTTATAGCCCAGATACCCCAATTCATTTGGGAAGAATTAATGCTGTCAATATCACCTATTTTAGACTAGTAACTTTATGATTTAATGTCTAAATTGTTAGCACAGACAGACAAGAGGAGAGCATGTTCCACCTTGAATCGGAGCTGGAACATGGCTGTGTACAGTCTTGTTTTCTTAATCTTAGACTATTTAATATTCAGTATTTTTCCACCCATATCAGCCAATATTGTTAGAATCTGAGTAGGTTTAACCTGTATTAAGGAGATTACTGTATATGGGTATTTAAAAATGACAATATTGTAGACAACTCAATAAAACAATACAACTAATTCGACTGTATAATATACAGTATCTCACAAAAGTGAGTACATCCCTCACATTTTTGTAAATATTCCATTTTTATAAATGTTCCTATTGGAACTGAAGGAGTTCTTTCTTTCTTTTGCAAAGTAAACTCAATTTTGGAGGCCTAAACATGCTCGAAAACTCACCAAACTTTGCACATAATTCAGGCAGAGCGAAAAAATTACGTATTTTATGGGTTTCCCGCATTGGCGTGCCAAAATGGCTCGCTAGCGCCCCCTATAGAGCAGCCCCCAAAGTTTCACCTACGGGTACGAAATTTGGGCCCACTTTGGACATTTTCACGTAGGGTGTACTCCCTTTTGTTGCCAGCGGTTTAGACATTGAGGGCTGTGTTACACTGTTACACAAGTTGTACACTCACTACTTTACATTGTAGCAAAGTGTAATTTCTTCAGTGTTGTGACATGAAAAGATATAATCAAATATTAACTAAAACGTGAGGGGTGTTCTCACTTTTGTGAGATAATACTGTAGTAGTTAATAATAGTTAATAAACAGCTGTACAAAACATGAGAAATCTCAGGAAATAAACAACTGTGGATTGATACTGCTTTTCAAAGCAGGATATATAGGGTAGATAATTTCTACAGTAACGAACAGATTTACTTAATTTGAGAATTTGATCAGGATCACAAGCTGAAAGGCTTCATTTTACACTGATGTTATCTGGAGATATATATTGAATATGCTCCACAGACAGCGAACAACACAACTCAGTCTGAGAGGAGCACATGTAAATACCATAGACTGTATATAAAAATACATAGTAAATACATCCTGGGGCAGATCCGGTCTATCGGCAGAATTAGGTCCAACATTAAAACTAATTGTACCCAAGTCGAGGTTTAATGTTCTAATTTAACAGTAATAGATTTGTTTTCAGATTTCTACTTTATTCTAAAATAATTTATTGTTAAAGTTATGGAATAGCAATGAAATTAAAGAGTGGTATTCCTCTCTGCTATAATAACGTTACCAGCATCGATTACAATGAAGAACACATTAACGTTAGCTAGCTCATTACCTTCTTCATCGCCGAAATCATCTTCGTCGTTGATAATACCGTCGTCAACCGAGACGTTTGGATCTCCATTTGGTCCAGACATTATTTAAATATGCTCGTTCAACAGATATTACTTTATTATATAGAGTTAATGTACGCTAATAGCTACCGTCACTACTTTTATAGTTAAGCTAGCTAGGCTGCCAGCTAATTAGCATTAGCAAATTAACGAGCAACAACTGAAATTTAGATAAATTCACAAATGCACAATGAAATGTCTTCTTTAACGTTATTTTGAGACGAGTTGAATAAATCCTCACATTCCAGGATCAACTCTCCGACGGGCTAGTTAGCTAGCTTGACATCTGTTGTCATTGGCCGACGTCAGATATTTGTTTACTGGACCGATGCATTGTGGGAGAAACGTGGGCGGGGTTTTTATGTTCTCCTCAGAGAGACTTTAGTGCTCAGAAAGATTACTCACTCTGTACAGATAACCTTATGGGTAGTTGAATGAAATCATCGTTACTCCTACACCGCAGAAAATCTGTAGCGCGTTTTTACGTTACTATCACTAGTTCCTGTTTTCGAGCAAGGTCAAGTTTTTCATTTAAAGTTTCTCCCGTGTCGCCGTAGATTACATGTCGGCTACACCTATGGTCTCTGAAAATACGAACAGAGTGGGCTCTCTTTAATTCTCCTGCTCTCTGACTCCGTTCTGTCAGACGCTGTCAGTCAGCTGACTGAAGGCATTGCTAGCACCTGACTAAACATTAAGCCAATTAACGATTGTTTTTGTACTGTGGCAGAATAATTAGTCACTTGAATATGCTACAGACATAAAATAAATTGACTGTTCTTTGTCATAGTAGCTGATGTATTGTATATACTTTATGTAATGGTAATGGCGCTTGCACCTATTTTCCTGCTAGCATTACTCAAACTTTACTCAGTTCGCATATATGATGCATATCATATTGATTTTAGTAATTAGTGATTTTACCACGATAAAAGCTAAAAGGGAAGCTTTATCATTTGTCCCAGCTGACCTTCCTAACTTTGATCAGTGGATGGCGCCAACATATCATGCAAGTCAGAGTCGGCGCAGTTAACCCACGTGTATGCATTTCCTGTAATGGGGTGGCCTGATAAACACTGAAATATCTGTTGTGAAGTGTTTTTAAGCTATGGATGAACTACCAGCGGACCTCAGAGCTTTTCTTCTTAACCACCCCTTTCTTCAGCTTACAGATGGCAAAAAGGTTAGCGGGCAAATTAAATCCCATTACATGAAAGACACGTGCTCTTACAATGTGATGCTAGCCGTATTGCTAATGTTGTGTGTAATGTGTAGTGTGATGGCTAGATGTGATGACCAGGACTGAAAAAAACTCCTAGTGATTACCAGGTTTATTGCTGCACCAAGCTAAGCTACACGACTAACACCACCAAATGAGCCACGCATGTCACCTAATTTGTTGTTTTCAGATCAGATGCACTTTGAACGGCCATGAGTTTCCGTGCAGCCTGACGGAGCTACAGAAGTTCACTCAAGGGAAGAAATATGAGAAACTGAGTGCTGCAGCGGAGTTTAATTACAGCCAGTATGAACCACACATTGTGCCAAGCACAAAACAACCGTAAGAAGACTCTTGCTTGCCATTTTGTAATTATACAAGAAAAAGCACCAACACCTTCCTTATCTTACTTGCAGCAGTGGCAATAACTGAAAAAGGGAAGTCCATAAATTGTTAACTGTTACTCATAAATAGACTGAGGGGTTGAAGCTCATCTGCACTTTGTAATGTGTTGTTTGATGCCTCCTGTCTGTTTTCCAGCAATCAGCTTTTCTGTAAGCTAACCCTCAGGCACCTCAACCGGCAGCCACATCACGTCCTCAGACATGTTAACGGGAAACGCTTCAAGAAAGCCCACTCCAAATGTCAGTGCATTACTTATTTGCATGCATGTCTTTTTTAACAGGTTTAAAAAAATAGTGGCTGCAGTGTGCCTTTTGAACAGTGGAGATGTTGTACAACCCAAGTCACATAGGCTTTTGGTGTGATACTCATCATTCAGGAAGGAAATCAAAGCTATCTGGTGTTGATGAAAATGTATTTCTGTGGTATCACTTTTCTGCTGAATATAATCGTTCTAAATCTGCTTGATCAACATTTAGGAATTTCTTTTGAGTTGCGTTCACAAATTTGCAGACTGCAGCCAATTAGAAATACCAGAAATAACAACTTTACTTTTTTTCAAAGCAACTAATACTGAATAGGGCTATCTTGTATATCGTCCAGGCAGTTACCTACTGACAATATTAGATAACGGCCTAATAATATATCACAGACTTCAGCATCTGTTTCAGATTTACACTTTTAGCATTGCTTCAGTTCTTATCAATCACATCTTTTTACAGTTTGGAATGCATTCTCCCACATCAGAAACAATTACAAAGCTCTCAGTCATATTGTCAATATTCATTTTACATTTAGGTTATTCATCTATTCATCAAATAATGACACCTGAACTAATTTTAGGTGACTGGCATGTCAGTCCACGTAATACACTGCAAATATGAGTTTTCAGACAATTCACGCTGTCAGCTTGATTACTGACACGACTCGTGTCTCATTCCTGCTCTAGATGAAGAGTGTGTGCAGCAGGGGATTGAATTCACTCCAGCCAGACTGAAGCAGAAAAGGCCCAGAAACATCGGAGAGGAGGTCATTCCGGGAAGGCCCTCAAAACAGGGGAACAGCTCGTGGGAACCCTCATCTAGTGACGAGGATCACAGTGACTCAGAAGACAGCATGAGTGACCTCTACCCTCGTCAGTACACACTGTAGACCTCCTTGTTCACTTTTTGGTTACTGTGTGTCATGGAGGTCAAAGTCTCCAGGATTTCATTCTTGTATGAATTTACTGTTCACAAACACACCGCCTATAGGAAGAGTGGCTTGTAGCGTTACAGTATTTCTTTGCTGTAACTTTGTGTCTTATGTTCTCACAGCCACTATGTTCACTTTAAAAACCATGGCGGAAGAAAGTATGGAGGGTGGTGGGGATGAGGAGGAAGATGATTTCCAAACAGATGAAGACGAGCAAATGGAGGTGGATAAGCAGGTGCTGCAGAAACGCAAGAAGGTCTGTAGAAATCTGGAAATTACATTTTCTCTGGGATCCAGTGTATCAGTGTTGCTGCCACCAATTAGATTTTGTTTTATAGTCCTTGTCAGTTAATGGTGTGTTATGTCTTTCAGGTCCAGGGCGGTGGTTTTCAAAAGAAATCAAGAAATAACCACTGGAAATCAGGCCGCAAAAAACATGGCAAAGGGCTAAGTGGAAAGTAAAATGCAAATCCATATACATATAGTATTTTTATACCTGGTAATTTATCGGGGAGCAATACTGCAGTTCAGTTTGGAGTAGTATTCCTGTGTCTGAGCCTGCCAGATCTATACATAAGTGAACATCATTTAGACGTTTCATATTTTCTCCATATGAAAGGATGTCTGTTTTCCAAGTGATGTGATGTTGCACGGTTTCAAAGATGCTGGTTTACGTGACATGGAAAATGTGTTGGTGGCAGTAAACATAATTTTCAGTGATAAGTTGTATTTTATGGTTTCCAACCAAGAGCACTACTATAAAATACGACTCAGTTCGGATGTGCAAACATTGTCTGTGGTTTTTTTATATATATATTTTTTTTTTTTTTGGAACCAATCATCGCCTATAAAAAGATAACAAGAAGGAGAGACCTTTACTGACACTATTGCAGGACATAAACCTATAATCATTCAACAGAGACGTGCAGTTCATAAAAGGACTATTTAAAAATATATATATAGCTGTAGCTGGCAAACCATTTTTCTAATGATTGTCAAGAAATTGCAGATAAGTGTTCATCAAGGATGAACATTTTGTCTGAAGGAAAAAAACAAACAAATAAAAACATTAATACAAGGACCTTCATGGCAAAATTTCCAACCCAGTCACTGCAACACGTTGCTGATTTATTGTTGTCATTTAATGTGTAATTTACACTTCTGAAATATTGTCTATGAATTATGAAGGCAACTCATGTTTATTGTGCGAAATACTTAATACAAGGTCATATTTATTGCTGTGCATTAAAAAAAAAAAAAAAAACATCTGCTGGCTTTATGCACACTGAACCTCAGCTTTGTTAAAATAAAACAGTTTTTTTTGTTGTTGTTTTTTAAAAGCTGCTTGGCTAACAGGGTGTGTACATGTTTCAGAGCTTAAAGGCTTCCTAAGCGCATCCTTGGTCACACAAGCCCATATGTGCGTTATGGCCCCTTTTACACCTCCATCCCATTGCCCTTAAAGTAGCTCTGCCCTCTCATGGCAGTTAGGTTTATGAATTGACAACAGCTCCTGCGACCATCAGAGTATTACTGCATGGTGTCCTTTCAGGTTGCATTTGCAGTTATGAGTTATCTCTACCAGGATGATAATACCCTCATCCACGCATGGTGGTCTCTAGATGGTTTTAATGAGTATGAATATGATGAAGCATAATGTAGCCTTCACATTCACCAGATTTCAACACAATTTAAGCGTTAGCTGTAAGAATGGAACAGCAAAATGTTCCTGTCTTTATGAGCTGTTTGAGTAGAACAGCCATTTTATTTTTTCATTCATTTATGCGTTCAATTATTGCATTTTTATCTCAAAGTGTATTCAGACTGTAGCGTATAGTATAGCAGTAGAAATTAATTATTTTTAATTTTCTAAAGAATTAACAGATCAAATAATATGCATTGTGTCGGAACAGTGTTATATTTAAAAGCTGCATAGGTAATGTACGAGTGTGCAGCATTTGGAGGGTTTAACATGAACATGCCTTACATTTTATGGTACAAGTGATTACATGTGGGGTGGAGCGTATAAACCTGGACTTGTTTACATGTGTTAAAGCCGTAAACAATGCCGGGTGGCGGCGTCAAGCCCCTGGACGGATCAGTATACGTGGCATACAGCGGTTGCAGTACCATGTAGGGGGGCTCTGTGTCGCTCGTCAAATCGCGGGGCATTGTGGGGCGGAGGCGGCCTTTCTCTGCGTCCAGGCGATCGGGAAATCTCTTCCAAGTAAATAACGTTAACTGGGGGAGGAACAGTACGAGCAGTGCCTGCGAGAAACCCAACACATTAAAACTGTGTTGCGCTGAGCCTTAATTATAAAATAAATCGTAATATTACACAAATATGGGGCAGGAGGATCTTATGAACACAGCCGAAGACGTGGCAGACCAGGTAACTTCAATTTTAGCACGGCAGTTGTTAACGCTAGCCGCTGTTAGCATGATAGCCGCTAACTTGTTTCTCTAACATTAAAGTAGCGTTAGGCTCTTTGAGTGTCTCCTCCAGCATTGTGACGCCTTTTAATTATTGTTTCTGCAAGTCCACAGTAGCTAACCGACGGTACTAACACGGCCTTGGATCAACGCTGGAGCTAATTTACTCTCGTGTTTTAATGTGCATGACAAACGGTCGAGGCGTCTGCTCCTGCCTTGTGTCTCCAGATGGTTTAGGTGCAATTAATAATTCACACGACAAAGTGTAACTGACATCTGTTTGGCAACGGCCAACCCGGCCACAGTTAACAGGTATATCTCATTATGCCAGCTAGGTGTTAGCTAGGTGGCCGGTGTATTAACAGGAGCACAGGCGAGCCAGACAGCATTGTGAAATCACTTGGCGTAACGTTAGTTATTGGCTAACACTTAATAGTCATATTGTGATATGCCAGCCTGGTTGCTGGTGGCTTAGGGTTACAGAGTATCTCTAGTTTGGAGAAGCATTTTGTTTTTCTGTACTGCATGTGGCTTTGATAGAGCAGCCAACACACAGCTCGCCCACAAGCTGGATATGAACATTCACTTTATTTCACATGTCACAGCTGCCTTTAAGTAGATATTTCTGTCTTTCTGTGGGGTATTTTGCTGTTATGGTGTGACTACAGGCTGTGCATTGAACTTTAAGGGGTGAGCTGAGATTTGAAGATCAGATTTCAGGTCTGCCTGTGACCCTTGTTACTACGTAGACTGGGGAAAGAGATTTGGGTTGGTGGCCTGTGCCATCTGTCCTTTGAAGAAAATACTGTAGTCTGGCTCACCAGACACATGCCAGCTTTAGTATTGTGTTATGCATTCATGTTTTTTGCAGGACAGGCCAGACTTTTAATGTAGGCTTTCTCCTTGGATAAGTCTGAGATCTGTCAGTTTAAATATCAAGTCATGGAGTCAGTTCTGTGTATGTTTATATGGCAGCAGTGCTGACTGAACTCTACCCCACATGCCTAAACTGCACCACTTCCCTAATTGAATACAACTGATTGATTTATACACTCCTATCACATGTGCTATGTATAAACGTTGGGAAAAGGGAACCTGAAGTGTCTGGCTTTGTAAGAAACTCTGCTAAGCCCGTTTCTAGGGCACATATCTCACTAAGGGGTCTTGAGCTAACATGTTTCTTACACATTACTCTACAAAATGGTCTATTTCTAGGCTGTTGCAGCAACCTCTGGCTTGTTCAGATTGGCCCGCAGTTGGTCCATTCATGTCCCACATAGCAGTCATAGTGGGAGTTGGTGGACGTTGATAGGCTGCCTAGGTCTGACAGTGCTGATGTGGACTGCTGAGTAGGCGGGCAGGGGGAGGGTCACTGCTCCTTGTACAGTGTCACTGTAGTATCTGAGGGTTTATTCATGATTTGTGCATGAGAGAACAACATAGGGTAGTTTATTTTGTCTTGTTTAAACATTCAGTTCATCTCAAGATTGCTTGAGATTTGTGGACCACAACAGAATATATTTAGTATACCCTTGTAGTTTTTGTGTATAAATTATATAACGTAACCATACTTGTTGTGATTGCTGACTTATGTATAATCTGTTATTATGTTTAAATGGCAGCTATGGAAGAAACTACCTGACTAGTTTAAAAAAAAAAAGGACCACAACTGATCTACATTTTGCAGTAACTTCATTCATTGCATTGACAAGCAAAGTAAATATTTGCTCCACGGATAGAATGCCATCTGCCATAGCTTCAGGTAATGGCGCGCTCTTTCTCCTACTGAGCAAGGGGATCTTCACTGTTTGGTTGTTATATTAGTTTCATGCAAAGTCTGTCGAAGTCAGCAATTCTGTTTTTAAATGACTACTGTTTCGACATTCACTTAGCTTGACAATTGCATTCAAATGACTAGTGAGGTAATTCCTATCCCTATAATTTACAATGTAAATAATAATTAGTAGCAGTTCTGATGACTTTTTCTTTCCTTTTTTTTAGACTGCGAGATCTGTCTGAGCAGTAGCAGTTCAGAATAGAGTTGTTTTTGTCGGGGGTTTTTTATAAAGAAGTCTTTACGGGAGTTTGTTTACATCAAGTTATATGATGTGTTACAGCTTTGTGATCCAATAATGTTGTTTCTCAGTTCTGCTGTTGCAATGATACAGAAACCACATCCTTTTGATTGTTATTCTTTGCACTTAAGATCACCCTTTTTCTTGCCAATCATTTATCCTCTTTGTTTTGTTTTTTTTTTCCCTCTCTCTATTGCCCAGTTCCTGCGGGTAACCAAACAGTACCTGCCCCACCTGGCACGTCTTTGTCTCATCAGCACCTTCCTGGAAGATGGCATCCGCATGTGGTTCCAGTGGAATGAGCAGAGAGACTACATTGAGGCTACCTGGAGCTGTGGCTACTTCCTGGCTACGTGCTTTGTGCTGCTTAACCTCATAGGACAGCTGGGTGAGTGAATTGGAGGCAGTGCACAGATAGGTTAAGGTTAGGACATTTGATGAGTCAACTCGGATTTGAAAGTTTTAGGGAGTTACAGTTCTAGCATCAATGAGTGGTGTGACACAAATACTTGTAACAACAGTAAGAGGAGTGATTGATGGTTCAGGGCAAATAATTTAAATGTATAAAACGTTTAAAAGTATGCTCAATGTATTTCAGCCCTGTTGTAACTGCAGTTTGCAAAATGTGCAATAAAAACACATTGACACACATTGAACTTCACATCTGGGTCATAAACTAGCTTGCTGATTAGAGAGGTCAGGGGAGATCAAAAAAACTTGTTGAAGGAAGCTAAGAGGTAGCCCACTTCACCACAAATCAGCTAAGTATTGCAGTGGATGCGAAAATGCATCCCTGAGCTCCTTGAACTTTGAGCAGAAGTTCACACACTGATGAAGGCATTACCAAAAACGTAGAAGCAGACAGAAGACATGTTGGGTAGATGTCAGGTTCCATTCTTGTCATGTAATAACCACAGTACAAAGCTAAAATGAACACTTATTGTAATCACCAAAGCATGACATGGCAGTTGGAAAATTGGTCCTGGGGGTGAAATGGTTTCTGTTGAGACATGCTGAAGCTCAGTCAGGGTTTGGCATAAATGGTATGAATTCATCGACCTGTCCTGCTACATATGTGAAGTGTGTTGCAACTATAATGACCACAACTTTTCTTTCTTTAATATCTTATCTGTTGTCTAACAGGTGGTTGTGTCCTCATCCTCAGTAGAAATTTTGTACAGTATGCCTGCTTTGGACTATTTGGTATCATAGCACTACAGGTGAGAACAATTAAGCTGTAATTAAATTTACACTGTGTGCACAGCATTAGGTCTTTGTAT